ACTCACGCTTCTGAAGCATTGGCTAGATTGGATGTTAGCGATCTGGACTAATCTGTGGACATTGTGGAGGCCTAAAATACGGGAACCACTAATCAGAAATGGATTCAAATTGTCTTGACTCTCAGTATAAAGGGACTCTACTGACTCTACCCTCATGGAGTCACAAACGGGAATAAAACTATTACAGAAATTGAACGTTTTTCGTAATCTTTGATCGGCTCATTCTTAAATTCCTTTCTCCGTTCCTTCTCTCATTCCGTTTGTTCCTTGTCGAACCCGAAATTCCTCGGTCCATTCCAGATTATAATCTTTGCAATTGGTGAAAATGTAATCTTTATTCCCGTTTGTGACACTGTGGAGGCCTAAAATACGGGAACCAATCAGAAATCTTCAGTGATTTTATAATTCAATCAGCATTAATTTTTGCAAATTTTGCTATTTAAAGGTAGTCAAAGCCATAATGAATCCATTGATGTATATTACTCCTGGATAATATTCATATTGGGATTTAATTTCTGACTTATACCAAGTGTGAACCAACCGGCATTTCTTATCACGGCGGCTTACGGGAAAAGCAACGACTGCCTGTGTTTTTTCGACATTTTTTAATTCCATCGATATTAATTTGTGCAAATTTTGCTATAATTAGATAGTCAAAGCCATAATGAATCCATTGATGTATATTACTCCTGGATAATATTCATACAGGCATTTAATTTCTGACTTATACCAAGTGTGAACCAACCGGAATTTTTTAACACGGTGGCTCATGGAGAAATCAAGGACTGCTTGTATTTTTTCGACTTTTTTTAATTCCATCGGTATTAATTTGTACAAATTTTGCTTTAGATAGATATCCAAAGCCATAATGAATCCATTAATGTATGTTACTCCTGAATTCGGGACATGGAAAATGCTTAAAAGTGGCGCCAGCTCTCCCAATTACATTACGACTCTATGTACTCTATGTTGTTGTTGCACAAAAACAAGAGGTGAGTTGAGTACAAACTAGAGTACCTGTATAGGGAGAGTAGCGACAGATCGGTTCATGGAGGGCTTAAATTTAGGGCCCAAAAGTGCAGCCCACAGATTAGTCCAGATCGCTAACATCCAATCTAGCCAATGCTTCAGAAGCGTGAGTAATTTTGCTACAGGTTAGGCAACTTTAGAAAATTGATGGCACTACCAGTAGTGAAAGAACTTGACCGGATCGAGAGAAATTTCCTATTGAATCTGATTATAAAGCTTGAAAAAAGTATAAATAGTAATGTGTAATAATGGTTTTTGATCAAATAAGATTTTATCAAGTACTGTTATGCTAAGTATTCTGTTTTAATATTCTTACAACAGTTGGTAGCAATTAACTGCTCTCATGGGGGCCTGGCGGGAATTCAAAACTAGGAACCAAAAGTCTCATTTTGGCAGGATTTTGCTTTAATTTTCGGTTTCTAAGGCTTTAAACTTCAAAAATATGATATATTATAATCTGCAAATTTCTTCAATAATGTCATCTACTCAGTATACTGATGAACTCTGATTTGTTTATTTCCACCGATAAAGCACAAAAACATAGCCCGATTATACAAATAAAGAAGGAGAATTAATTAAAATACGGGTAAACAAGGCTAAAAATTATTGAAACACTTAAAGGTAAGACGTTTCGAGCTGCTTCCAGCTCATTTTCAGCTGCAAAAACACATAAAAACTAGAGTACCTGTATAGCGAGAGTATGGACAGATGTGAAACTCCGAAAATCCATCAGGCCTTCACCGATGCTTCTACGAATAAAGTTAGGGCCCAGAAATGCAGCCAACCTATGAATTTCAATTATCCAGAACGATTTACTAATACTATTGTTACGAACCGTCGTTTATTAAGCACGTGTTTGACTCAGTTTTTGCATAAATTTACTCAATTTTGCGGAAGAACGCTCATTTCTGTACATTCTTTGCCATCATTGTTAGAATTGGAATCTGCAGACTGGCAGTGAAATTTTGTGCGTTAGAAGTTGGTTAGAAGGGTGGCTGCACTTTTGGGCCCTAAGCCCTCCATGAAGCGATCTGTCCATACTCTCGCTATACAGGTACTCTAATAAAAACAAGTAAAAATTGAGTGGCGACCTGACCCCAGCCGTTATTATGAGTGGTTACGTGATAACGGCTGAGGTCAGGTCGCCACTCAATTTTTTACTTGTTTTTATGTGTTTTTGCAGCTGAAAATGAGCTGGAAGCAGCTCGAAACGTCTTACCTTTAAGTGTTTCAATAATTTTTAGCCTTGTTTACTCGTATTTTAATTAATTCTCCTTCTTTATTTATTTCCACCTTAATTATTTAATCTAGAAATATTGAACTACATAAATTCTACTGAGAAACTAATTCTTGAATTCTTCGGAACGTTTCATCCCACAAAAATCTGAAAAAGAAGTATTCTCCCGCCGAAAATCTGCTGAAAATAGCCAAAATTTCAGTTTTGGTTCCTAGTTTTAAATGCCCATGGATTTTCCCGCCAATGACGCTCACAAAGCTACTCACGCTCTTCCGCCGATGTTAGCGATCTGGACTAATCTGTGGTGCAGCCACCCTTCTGAGCCTTCAGCCTATTCTGAGCAACTTCTAACACACAAAATTTCACTGCCAGCCTACAGATTTCAATTCTAACCAAGATGGCTAAGAATGTACATAAATGAGCGTTCTTTCGCAAAAATAAGTAAACCAAATACATGCTTTCTAAACGACGGTTCGTAACAATTGTATTTGTAAATCGCTCTGGACATTCGAAATTCATAGGTTGGCTGCCCTTTTGGGCCCTAACTTTATTCGCGGGGGCATCGGTGAAGGCCTGATGGACTTTCGGAGTTTCAGATCTGTCGCTACTCTCCCTATACAGGTACTCTAGTACAAACAACATTTATTTCATCATGGAGACATTTCGTGACATATTAATTTATAACATTAATTTCACTCTCAGTTAATGTACGTCATGGCCACTCAAAAACCTGTCGAATGGGTTTCATCCCTAATTAACAGGTTTGAAGAACAGGTAAATGCCTAACTTTGTTAAATCAATGCAAATTCGTGTTACCCCACTCTTCTAAAAATCAATAATGCCCTCTCTTATTATGAATGGGATTCAGCTCATCAGAGGGATGTATGTGGGAGGAAACCTTTTCTCATCCTCCTCTGTGTTCATGAATGAACTGGGTGGGTAGAATATTTTCGTTCATGATAGCACATCATTCAATCTCTCTGAGCACTATGTCATTACTTAATGTCTCAAATCGATCATGTAGTACTTATGACGTTTTCTTCTCTGTTGAACGGTTTTTTTTTTTCAAATTTCGATTTGAGTTCATTTCCATATTTGATCAATTTCATCCATTCTGAGAACTCAAAATATCCCACCGTTGTTAGAATGGTGCTTGACTGATTTCATACCTACGCTAGTTTTTATCATTTACTTACATACCATTATGACACGTCTAGTTTTTGTTTTTGGACTGTATACACAAGTAGCAAATCATATTAGTAATTCAGATAAACTCTACTCAAGGATAGTTTCTAAGCGTCTTGGAAGGAGTCTGACCAACTATTTTACGATGATAGGATATATTAGTATCTCAAAGTCCCAGAAATCTGCACAAATTGAGATGGATGCAATTTTGAACTTACCATGAGCACCTTTTAAGTAAAATTGAACGGCAGTATTTAAATGACTGAAATTTTTGATTAATCTCATTCGGAAAGATGGTAATTTAAATCATTCTAATTGCTCGCCTTTCAGGAATATTCTTGTAGCTCATCCAACTATCTGAAATGTTTTCTTCCTCTGCTAAAAGACACTCCTTACAAATGTTGCTCGCCATTAAATGTCAGAATTTTATCACATTTGTTTTCAGAGCAGGAACTGACCAGTGCAATGAGTTGCTCTGCTCGCTAGTACTTTTTCTTATCCTGAGGGATCCCAAAAAACTATTTGCAGATCTATACCTCCTCTTTACTGTATACCTAGCCGCAACCAGTTTCTCCAAGACTGCAGACACCGCATTAAGTGGAGCATTACATACTTATCAGCAAAATTGAGTTACTTAGGAACTCCAATTATGATTCAGAACTGCAGCATTTTCTGCACTAAAGTTGCAGTGTAAATTTAATGTTTCACCATGACACCAACTACATTCATACCAGCTTTCTGTAAATACAAATATTAAAGCGGGTTACAATGTATGGATTCTCATAGCATTGAAAATAAAATACAGTCCGTCCGAACCCTTGACTCTAATCAATTCTGGTTGAATTCGTTTACAGACCCTGTGGGTTTATCTAAACCCTAGTCAGAAGCAAATTTTACAGTTACTTAAAGGCTATAAAGAAGTGCTGTTCAAAAGAGGCTTCAAATTCACTTTGATGTGCCTTGAGATCAGGTTTTTGCATCTATACTTCATTTCTGATGGGATTTATAAAACATGTTAAGTGTCTGATCTGGATCTCATTGAAAGCATTTTCAGTTGAGTTTGGATAAGTACTGCAACTACCTACATTCAAGCTGAGGTTTTCTATATGCTTCTCTCAGTTCTGATTGTGAAATGCACATTCAAGCTGAGGTTTTCTATATGCTTCTCTCAGTTCTGATCGTAAAATGCACATTCAACCTGTATTGAAACGCTTATATAAATGTAGCTACTGTTTCATCCTTCAAAATTCCCAGGAGGGGCATTTTGGTTGGCACTCCTGTCCTCATCTAGAAATTTTCTTTGACTTATTTGATGCGTATTTTTACCCAAAATTGCCATCAATAGAGGAAAGTGTGAAATAATATCGATATCATGTGTCATTCGGTTGGAGCATATTCTGAATATGATACAGAAGTAAAAAAGTGGACACTATTTTGCTAGCTCATTTTTTTTCACTCATTATCCTGAAACTAGTTTCTGAAAGCAAAGATCTGGGTCAAAAGAAAAACTCTTCGACTTTTGCTGTCCTCTAGATGGTTAAGGTTTGAATAGGAATTTTTTCCTTCAGCAAAATAATTAAACAGACTTTTGGGCCAAATTGTATCAAAAGCTGAAGTCTAAACAATTTGTTCTTCTCCAAAACTCAACCAATGTAGCTAACAAATTTGTATCTACTCTTACTCATATTAACTTTTGGATTTTGACTGGGAAGTCAAAAACAAATCATCAACGTCTGAGTCACTGCTCCACAGACTTGGTAAATTGAGAGAAACAAAGGTGACCCTCAGGAACATTTTGGATGCAAAAACAGGTCTAAATGTCATAATAAACGAAAGATGTGGTAATTTGAAGCTTGGAGTGAAAAAAGTACAGAAAAAGTTGTTGATAGTTCTACTCTGTGTTTAAAGGGGGAGGGGGTGTCAAAATTCTGGACCTACAGGACATGTTATTTTGTGCCCTCTTTTGACACAATATTTATCTGATCTGTCTCCTCTCATTTTATTCTGTGGGATACCATGAAGTATTTTCTGTTGATAACTCAAATTTAGTTTGTTCGACTGAACTTGATGTAAAAGGTTCTCTTGAATAGTATGGTTCAGTGCACTGACAATGAGTTCCCTTTTCTCAAGGAAATTCATCGATACATCAATGAGAATCTTAATTGGCACTGACAAAGGTTTAGCTCCCGATTGAAAACTTTACTGTCAATTTTTATTGGACTCAATATTTGACAAGCACAATTTTTTTCTGTGTTATTTCTTACAGCTACCTTCCCGGACTGGACCGCAAACAGCACACTCAAGAATCAGTGAAGAACAAAACAAATTATGCCTCATAAAAATAAGCCGCTATCGATTTTCGTTGGTTATTTCTGGACTGACCAAAATTCTCACACGGGTGAACGAATTGGTATGTTCGTAAAAACTGGTTAAATCATTTCATTATACCTATTTCTCTGAAAGTAGAATATGACCCTTTTTCAAAATTCCAAGTAGGTCAGTGGCACCCATTTTTTTTTTATTCAATTTTCTGAAAGCACAAAGTGAGTAAGCTTCTCCAACTTTGTCAGGGTTTTTTTTTTCTTTCTTTCTTTTTTCTTTCTTCTTTTTTATGAAACTCTAGATGGCAGAAACTCCCGTTTTGAAAATTCCAAAAATGTGACCCGTTTGAAACTAAATTTATGTTGGACTCAGATGACATAGCTAAGTGGGGGACATGGTGTTTGCTGATCAGTTAAACCCAGCTTCAGGCTCTACCTTGCTATGTCAACTGGATTGTTAGCTTTTGATTGGCTGGATTTTGATGAGCTCATTCTCCCCTTGGAAATAATTTCTTGAGCGTTTTAGTTTTTTCTTGGAATTTTACACAGAATTAACTACCGATTCTCTAATCTTGCAAGAGTTCCAATCTACTTCCTCATTTATGGTTCAGTGTATACAAGTTTCAATATTGATTCAATATAGGTACAATGTGCCTCTTCTAGATGCTCATGGTACATGTGACAATCCGTTTTCTGTTGTGTACCTCTGGTGTTAGTCCAGGCATATTAGATCAAAAATCGGCGATTAGAAAAAAAAAATTATATATAAGGTTTTATGTGCCCAAGTTGTTCATTGGGGTGCCAGGGACTCCCAGCAAAAAGTCCCCAAGAATCCCCTGTACGCTCGACCCCCCGCCCCCCCAAAACCCCCAAAAAATCGACCTTTTCTCGGTTTTTCGTAAATATCTCAAAAGGAATTGGTTTTAGCGAAAAATGAGCTACCTAGTGAATAAAAGTTCATAAAATTTCCAATAAAAATGACTTCTATGAATTTTTTTGTAAAACGACTTTGAACCCCTCAAAATGGCCGCCGAAAAAACGGGCATTTACGGAAATTTCAGTTTTTTCCCGAAAATGCCCATTTTTCTTTGAAATGGCTGCTCACATGTAAAAGTTAATGGCGGATTCTGAAAGAGCGTTGAATTTCACATCAGAAATGATTAACATCGATCATTTTAGACTCACAGTAGATCTACGGAAATACGATATATCGAAGCTCTTCTGCCCGGGCCTAACAAATCAAGTACTAGGTAGTTAAACATTTGCGGCCGGGGTTCTAATGACACTAAAGTCATACTTTTTTCACTCGGGGGTCGTTTGTATTAGCCTTTTACTCCTTTTCAAGTCCATTATTGGAGGGAAGGGAGTAGTGATTGTGGGGGGGGGGTGTGTCACCCATTACCCTTCCTCCGCTTAGCCGCGCAACGGTTTAACATACAGGAACGATAAGCAAGGTCCAAGCCTGCGAAGACGTCGATGTGAAAAGATGAGGCCACGTTTTTTGTTTTGTCTTCCCATTGTCGCATTTTGGAGGAATCGTAGCTGCCAAATGACAGAAAAATGATTAATGCTGAAATACATGGCCCGAGGAGTGGAGGGACATTATACCTAGCAACACTGGACGAGCCCTTCTTATCTAAAACTGGGGGGGCTTATATGTAGCTCGTTCAGGGGCTTCGGTTTCATAAAAATTCCCCTTTCGCCTCTCGTTGCCCCCCATCGAATTTATCTCGTCGGGCTCCTTCCTATGTTTTGCGATTCTGATCTCTAGCAGTTGCACGGACTTCCACCCTCGATCCGCGTTGTGGCTGTGTCATTCTTATTCCAAGCATATTATATATCTGCATATTTATTATCATATTATTAATAGGCAGCATCCGATTAATATATATCGGACTTTATCATGCAAATAAAAATATCGAAAGTTTGAACGAACATCGTTTCATCAGGTTTAAAAAAGGTGCAGTCACGGCTAAAACAAGTAGTCTCGAAATTCTACCGCCGACAGAAGATGCCGCCAAATTGCACGGTTTTAGAGCATTCCTTCAAATTCAAACGTGGCTCGGTAATGCACTCTCGCCTTTAAATTGGGGGTGGAAATTGGATCCGCAGCTTACTCCTGTACGAACCACTTTAGGGCCTGCACCTAAACAAGTTTTGGACGCAATTTTCTGTGGCTGTGTTAAGGGTTGCAGAAAATCGTGCGGTTGTAGAAAAACAGGCCTGAAATGTTCAAACGTTTGCTTACATTGCAACAGCATCTCAAGTGATAACTCGCTTGTGCCTAATACAGACGAGTAAGAAGAAGAAGAAAAGGTCCATATGGATGACGCGAGGGCAACACTAGAATTGAGCGGCAATAAGGCGGAAGAAGAAGGAGAAGAAGATAAACAAGAAAAAGAGATGGAAAAGAAGAGAGAAAAAGTTGTAAGCAATTACGCACTTAGGCCAAAAAGACGACGATTATTTTAAGACTTTTCTCTTAGTTTTACAGCTGGACATTCCTTCAAAAAAGTTATTGGGCAACCACTTGCTCTCGAATAAGTAATTGTAATTAATTAGAATACACTGCTTTACAATGATTATTAAGTGAAACAAATCGAAAATATTATTTG